GCTCCCAAGCTACATTTCCGGTGACAAAAGCTTTGCGAAAGCCTCCTGAAGGATTCATCTATATCCTAATATTTCCAATCCAATTTAACTGGAGCAGCCGGAGTGGTCTGAGCACTAGTTTACCAATCTTTGCTTTCCAAGACTCCGCGTGCTGAAGGCTTGAGGGGTTCAATCAATGGCGCTTTGATCTCGGCTGGAACCATAATTATTTAACATTGTTACAAGGATTTCTCTAATCCATCCTACCATTAAATCCCTTTTACACCCTCATCTTCTGCAGCCTAATCTGCATCTGGGTGCTGCGTTTGTCTCCCCCCTCTCATTTCGGCGCGCCCCTCCTTCCTTGACGACACCCTGACTTTATAATGGACTTGGGTGCTGAGTTAGAAAATGCCTTGTTTACTGAGAGCAACCTGAGTGAACTATTCAAATAGATGTTGCTTCGGCAGAATTGAAAAGTGTTTTCGCTGTATTTGTGCTGGAGTTTGGGTCAGTTTGCTTTCATTTCGTTTCAGGTTGTGTTTTGATGTTTAAAAGCTTCGGCACGTAAAAAGTTAAAATATGCACAGTCGAATACAATTAAACAGAATCCCCATAGCTGTCCACATTCCTTTCCCAAAGTTTCTTTAGATGAACTGAGGGAATTTCAAAGACCAGGTGCCCATAAGGTTTAATCCCATCTGTTTATTTTGCTGATCACTTTGACTCCCAACAAAAAAGTGTCCACTGTCCTTTTGCAAATATTGCGTGTCTGTGTTTCACCGTGATATAAATAGCAGCACAGGCGACCGCAAACATTTGTCGAGGCACCTGCCACAGTATCACGGCCATCTGCTCCTCCAATTCTCCTAGCATGACATATGTGCATTAAACCTGAAATGGTTATTGTTTTGTTTTGTTTGAGACTGGAAGAATCGGCCACAGACCCTTCTGGGTTGGCTGGAGTCAAAAATGAGACTCAAGAGTTTTTACATCTGAGTGAAGCTGCGTGTGCTTGTTTGATGTCTTGAAAAGGGAAAAGAAGGCAGCGGGTGCATTTTTTTTTGGTGGGGGCCTTTCTTTGCTCCGTCTGTGTCTGACCATCAGGTAGACTCTCTGATGGCCCCTCCTTCGGATGACCCCTGCTTCACCCTGGCCGACGCCCAGTTGGCACCAAGGGGCCGAGCAGGGCCGGCCAGGAGAAGGGATTTGTGGACGAGATGATCACATGACTCCTGTCATACTCGTCTCCTCCTGCTGCTGTATCTCCTCCTGCCATATTTTACGTGCAATATCTTAGAATCTCCTCCTGCTGCTGACAGCTACAGTAGCATAAGTCACTCTACACAGCAAGGTGAGGAAACTTATACTTTTATTACTATAGGTATTATTGCTGCAATGCAGTAGTGTAAGTGATTCTTATGTGACTTTAAAGATTTCAATATAGATCCTTTCAAAATATTAAGAATGATTGCATGTGTTTTATCTATGTTGTCTATCATTTGTGTTAAACGCACACCTCAGCAACGTATTATAGTACATTTCCCACAATACAACTGAGACTTATTAGCATGAACGTGTATATTCATGTGCTAAATGGCAATAAAGTAAAGCATAGTGTATTACAATCAGTGTTCCCCAGTTGTATGAAGTTATCAATATATCATGGCTACTGATTGGAATATATACCGTTTCCATAGTTACAGTAAAGGCAGTAGACCTGTAATCCTGCTTTTGATATTAATTAGTTTATGGAATTTTAGAAAATATGACTAAAATGACTAAATAGCACACAAACGGTATCTCACAGGCAGAAAAGGCAGCGATCGTAATTACAGCGCTCTTAACGAACCCTGGATTTCATGACTTTCATAAGGGGGTGTAGTTTACACGAGCACGCATTTAGATAAGGCTGAGAACAAGTTCATTAGCAGAGTTAGCTAGCTAACACACACCACTCCCAATTAGCCTGGAGGAGCGTGCGTGGGAGAGAATGAGAGAGACAGAGTCAGATTCCTATCGCCGGCAGTCCATGAAAATGAATAGAATAGCATGACACGCTATCTCCCAAATCAGCGGCTGATTGCGAAACATCCGTGACGAGAAATGATCACGAGACAGAGAGATCAGTGCGCAGATTTGCTTAAGGACATACTTGTGGAGAGACGAGGAGAGAGAAAGGGAACTCGCTGGGTGTTCCACATCAGAGAACCAGCACTCGGCAGTGAAGAGAGCAGAAGAGGCAGCTATCAGATTAATAGTGAGTCATTCTGTACGCTTCTCTGCCGTTACAGACAGAAAGACAATCAGAGAACAGGGGGCAATCGCGGACAGCGCTCGACACGAGTTACTAAAGTGGAGATGAAATGCAGGGGACAAAAAAAAAGTTCAATTAAAGGATGTAGATTGTAAAGGCTTTTGTTGTTACTCAGCAAAAGGGAAACGGTATGGAGGTGCTTCAATAGAATCACCAAAGCAGGTGGGCATGTTCCGAGTTAGCCCACCTCATTAAAAGGCTTCACTCTCTCTTTATGTAACGGCCATTACACATCCTATTCAGATGCACACACGGCGTGATTAAAAATTATCTGTTGGCGATCATTATCACACCTGGCTTAAACTTAAGCCAAAGAATAACAAAGAACTTTTATGAATGCCGAACTATCGGAACATTTACAAAGAGATTAAAGGGTAGACAGTCCTCAAACTAAATAAATGTGCTTTTAATCGCTTTGAACAGGAAGTCATGTCATTTCAAATGTCCCTATCTGATTGTCTGATTCCCCTCTTTATTCAAATTATAACATGCCCATCTGACTTTTCCAGCACAATGGGAAAAATTAAAAAGGGAAATGACCTTTCATGGCAGCCATGATGTGAGAGTGAATGGCATTATTATGCACCGAGATTAATTTCTGCCCACTCAATGCTGCCCATTGAGAAAACAGAGGAGGGGGCACAGTGTAAGTCATCATATCATAGAGATGTTGAGCAAGTTGGTGCGAACATGATGAAGTACTTAGATTTTATAGTAAGGTAAAAGAAGCGATTCTGCATTGTGAAAATACGCCTTCAAAACCTTAAGTAGAAATACACAAGTAGTGGCATTGAAATATACTTAAATTACCAAAAGTTAAGTGTAATGGCCCATTTAGAAAAACATATATACTAAATGACTTGATTATTAATGCAGTAATGTGAAAATCACAGCTTTTTCAGTTTGAGCTAATATACAGTAAATAAGGTTGTACACTGCTGCTGGATATTCAAATCAATACTTACATCTCAATGTTTATTTATTAGTTGATTTGTATTTGCCATTAGCTAATAATACAAATCTGTTAAGTAACTTAAGATTTCAGATCAATGTAATGGAGTAAAAAGTACATGCAAATAAAGAAAAAGCTTGACGAAACGTGCCCAGCGTTTACTAAAAGCTAGCTATAGCTTAGCCAATGAAACCTTATATTTACTAGGTTTCCAGTGACACTATGCATCGCTTTTAGTAAATGCTGCTCATGTTCTGTTGGTGAAGATGTTTCTTCATTTGCACGTTTTGGCATATTTGTTTTTTTAAACTACTGTGCGTTTCTCCCAATGTAAGAATGTGAGGCCGTGGTAACGCGTGTACACCTGTTGGCCCCCATGGTAAGGTAGCCGACAATGGAAATACTCGAATGAAATTATGTAAAATACTTAAGTAAATGCACTTCATTACATGCCACCACTGCATGTTCATCAAGAACAAAATGTGTTTTATAATGAACTTGGCTAAATTGTATAAACATATATTAGCATGTTTCTGTTAAAGCTGTGTGCTAAATGCCATTTTACTCTTCTTTAAACGTCAGAGATTAGAACACAGTGATGAAGTCTTCAGACTGGATGTCACTTGATAACTCGGAAGGCTGTAGTTTGTTAGAACATGAAATGGACATCCTCAGTGTGAGCTACAGAGCCACCTCCTCTCTCCGCTGCCTGTCCAGCAGTTTGTTTCTGAGCCTCTAATTCTCATTCTGATGGCTAAGTAGAAGGAGGAGGATAATTACAGTCAGTCATACATCTAGTCATGCTACATCCATCCCTCCTTTTCAAAGCACTATTTTTAAGCTCAGCGTTTTCTCGCCCCCAAAAGGGCCTTTTTCCCCGCATGTGATGCCTTCTTTTTGTCATGGCCCCCATAGTTCTGAGCTGACCCCCTCAGCCCTGTCTCCTGACTGATCACAGTGATGGTTTATTACTGTCGTCCCGGCGTTCTTATCTTTAGCCAGCAATGCTCATTTCCTTCCCCAGATTTAAATGCAAATGTGAAATTTAATGATAAATGCATTATCTGATAGGTGCGATAACACTGATTCACTGTCAGTATAAAATACACACCCCGGGGGGCTTCGGGCTTGCAAGCACAACTTGCCCAAATCCACTTTTTTTTTTTTTCCCTCTCTATCTCTCTTCTTTTCTCTCTTTCTCTCCTTTTTTTTTACATGTACCTGCAATAAATTCTTGAGGTCATTTTATGCATTAAAAAGGAATCATATTGTGTGTGTTCAGCAGTGTGGGTGGAGGCTGTAGCTGAGCAGTAATTGCTGTGCAACTATCTTGTTCCGTGTATTATCCATCACTTTGATGAAGTTACTTTTAGTAAAAGGGCAAAACAAGACAGAAATGCATTGTAAAGTGTTCAAAAAGCATCTTCATCACATTATAAGTAAATAAAGAATTGATAAAGCTATTTTTTTGAGTAAGCAATAGTTGGTAATTGAATGTACTATTAACTGAGTGGGCTTTCAGTCATAATAGCATACAGACTCCTGACTCATGTCATTTTTGTTGCTTTGTAAGGCATAATGCTTTCTTACTTTGAACAAGAAGTTCAAGCTTTGAAAATATCAGGATGCTACTTTTCCGTTTAATGCCAGACCAAATCCCAAATAAACATAGTTAAAATGGATGCAATTTAGTTATAACTTTGTGAGAGGCCCTTCGAGGCTATGTAGTAAAGTGATATTCATTTTTCTTACTTGGACCATCCCATTCCTCCGGCCCCCCATGCCTGGTCTTCTCGCCCTGCACGTCCATCTCCGACTCTCCTGCTTCTCGGTTGCCATCTTCCTCTCCTGCAAGGCAGAAAAACACAAGTTAAGGTGAGAATGACTCCATCAAAGTTGCATTATCAGACGAATAATTTAATTAAGAATTGCATTATGGACTTTCCGAAGGGTAGATTGTGACAAACTACAATTCCAATTGACACACTCAATTGCCATATATAAACCAAAATAAGGAAACCTTTTGAGCACCTTTTTAGACTATAACCCTCTTTAGTGCTTGTCTGAAATAAATGAACCTGTTTTGTAACATCTGACTTGTCGAATCCAAACAACTAAAACTGTCTTCAACATGCTTTTTCTTTTTGAACTACTTGAACACAGGTTCTAACAATGGGACCGTTTTTTTTAACTTTTCAGGGCGAAATTGAAGAGTTTACAGTAAATGGTAAAATAAATAAAAAATGAAAATAAGTACTTGTTTCTTTCATGGTTATTTTTAACATTAGCATTAAAACTGGTTAAAAAGTCATTTAACTACTTTGCAATATGAATGTACTGTACTGTTTAGCCCTGAGCCTGTTTTCCAGGTCTCAGGCTCGAAAATGACATTCCCAGAACAAATGACTATATCTTCAATAAAAGGGGTACATTAATAATCTTTTTTCTCAAAGCAATGATAAACCTGTGAGTTGGATGTAGAAAAGTCAGAATCAATATAGAATTTTTTTATTTTAAAGCAAATTCAGATTGAACATAGTAAAAAAAATTAAATGATAGTGTCCGTCCAAAAAAAAAACATTACTTATAGTGAAAACCACCCTTGAATGATGGGATAGTAGACTAAACGCTAATATACTATAACATATAATAAGTACCCTGTATCAAGATTGATGCAAAACAAGAGACATTTGACCTTTTTAGAGAGTTTTAGCAAAACAACACTTCTGGGGTCATTTGGGTGGATTTTCCATATCTCTGTCCCCCCTCGTCGATTTTGATGATTGACACCTCTTTTTAACCGCTAGAGCCAATAGAATCGAGGGGAAGTTCCTAAAATCCATCTAAACATTACCCATTGGTGAATGAGTGATGCATAGCCAGAATGCCCCGGAACCGGAAGCTGTCATACACTCTTCTGGTAGCTATCATAATAGCTATATATGAAAACTCAGTTTTTGCCATAAATATGAAGATGGATTATCAGTAATCATTTCAAAGTGACACAGACACATTGGATTAACCTTGAGCAGCGTTTTTATCGTTGTAATGCCATTGAACACAACTTTTGATCAGAATAACAGCTAAGGTAAGACAATGTCCCGTTTTTGCTCCGTAAAGCTCCGTGTTGTGATGTCTGTTTGCTTCCCCTGTCGGTATTCTTATACCCCTAGAATCTGTGGAATCTCAGCTTGCTAATCGATTTTTGTGCAGATCCGATATTTAATAAGGGTATTTATACCTAGAGTTCTGTGCTAAGTGTGTTAGCATTTTTTCGCTCAGGGCTCATTACGCTTCTTGTGAGACTTATGTTTTGTTTCGGTAAAAATGGTTCGTATCGTCAGTTAGCTGAGTTTCTTCCCGGAGGCCCCCGCCCGGTTGAACAGGTTAACTACCAGCCAGCTCCCAGCCCCTACACTGGCAATACTCATTACATTTTATGTCCATTTCCTGTGACATTCAAGTATCACAATGTAAAGCCATGTGCAACATTACCATTGTGTTGTTTTGTGTATATATAGTTCTGTATATGTATATTTGCTGTGAGCTTACAGGGTCCAGCTGCATACTTGTATGTAAAAGGAGTTCCCATGAGTGCTTGCAGGAACAGGAGGAAGCCCCGTGGAACAGGAAGGAAAGCAATGTGTGGGAGAGAGGTGGCTATTTATTACCGTTTGATCTATTGTGGAGCGAGCTAGAATGTGTGTTATAGGATGTAGGGCTGATTTACAGTCTCACACAGACCATACTAAGGGATATTTGGGTATCTCTCTCCAGGATGTAAGTGCTTAAAGACCTTGTTAAACAGACTACGAGTGTGCAGCAGTAACACTGACTCTAAGATGCATTTACTGTAAAAGGAAATCTATTTTTGTATGTCTAAAACTAGCACAGTTTGTACCCAAAGTTTACAGTAAAGCTTAGTGGATTCCCCCCAGTGTGGTGCTCTGATTAAATCCAATGTGGCTGACACAGTGGTTGCAAACTCGGGGAAAAGTAAGAGGAAATGTGCCTGGGGCATGTGGTGGTGGTTGATAGTTTGTGGAGGAACATTTCTCTCACTTTTGTCACCATATCGTTTCCATCCCTTTGATGTTTTAAACCCAATAGTGGACGGTCAGGGACAGGCCTGGATTACTACAATGGATTACTCCACTTCATACGCTCAAAAAGGGGAAAAAGGGATCGATGTGTACATTTATGAATTGTAAAAATGATATTTATATTGAAAAATGTAATAGTATTTATATGTTATACTTCTAGATTGTACATAGTGTGATAGGCATCATGAAATGTTTTAAATGATTGTTGATTGTTGTGTGTATCTGCCCAGGGACTGCAGATGGGATTTTTTTTATGCATGGTCGTTGTTCAATAAAGATATATAATAACAAGTAAATGTTAATACAAAGACCATACAGACAATGGTGTGAAAGTTGTGTATTTAATATCAATCATTGAAAATGTTTGGACTTGTACACGTTGTTTACTTCCTCTGTATCTGATCCCCCCCCCACAGCTCCCAAAAAGCATTTCAGAGTGTTAGTTATCACACTTCCAGCGACAACTGCCACAGGACACACACTCCTTCACTGCAGTCCGTCCTCAGTTAGGGTTAATCTCCAGATCAAGCACACACACCATGCTTGTTTAGCTATTTTCTGACATGGCTCACTTCAAAGAAGGTAGCAAACATTGCCAAAAGGATGTCAGCTTTCTGCCTCACACTAAAAAAAAGGGAGATGTATACGAAAGAGAAACTGAAGGGAAGTCTGTAGAAAAATGTCCTACTTACAGTACATGAGGTCATTATGACCCAGTTTTGCTTATGCAAGGGTCTGCTTGGGTTGGCTATTTCTCACCCCTCCCCCCACCTCCACTACACTCCTTCCATTTCCTAGTATACTATCAGGGAGCCCACTCATCTAAATGTATTGTTGGGCCTGGAGAACCTCTTTCGCATACTGGCTCGTATTATGACGAGGATAACAAAAGGCGTGTATCAACAGTTCCTTCCGACGGAGCGAGTTAAAAAAAAGCATGCGAGATAACATTAAAGGCACTACCTTGATCTCAGGCGGACATGTTAAGCCCTGTAACGAAACGTATTGGAAGTGTTTAATTACAGCCCGGGAAATGAAGCTACAAGATGATTCCTTAATTAAGCAGTGATTAAGGATTTTCTGCCTTCCATCTAACACAGTTTGCAATGCATTTTAAACACAATCACCCGGGCAACCTCACAGGGAACAATGTCACAGGGCTTTGATGAAGTTTCCTGCACAAGTGTCACCAACAGAGGAAGGAGTGCTGGAGCAGCACTCCTTTGCTTACACTGCGGTTTCATATAAACCTGGCCAATATGAAGAGCCATTTTTATGGTTTTCAACGACTTAAGAGTTTCTGACCTTCCTGATATAGAAACAGATTGAGGTGCTCCATTTCATTCGCAGAGGTCCACTATAAGTAATAGAGATTCTGCCTTGTTTCATCATTTGAATTGAAACCCTCTTATCAAGTGGGAGACAGATTGTCAATGATCATCCTCTACATTATCACCTAGATCATAATTTACATCTGGCTTGGTTTCCGTTCCCTGTGCAATCAAATGGAGATACTTAAGGTTGAACGAGAGAAGGCTGGAGGGAACAGAAGGGACGGGGGACTGGGGGGGGTTGAGGCGGCCTGCTGGGTGCAGGGTTGGCGGGCATGCACGAGGAGCCAGTGAGCTGTTAAAATCAGCCTTATCGCTGCTCTATCAAAGGATGGCTCTCTAGCCAAATCGCAGTCACACGCAGCGTGTCACGCATTCAGGTCAATAAGCTTATAGGCGATTTACACAAACAATTCCTGGAGCAAGGTAGCAACAAAGTCATATTGGCTTTTTCTCTCCCTTTTAGCATTGTCTCTCCCAAGGAAGCCCTTGAAAATGTCAATCTCTGCCGTGCGACTTTAAGGAGCTCAGGGCACTCTAATCCTGACCACTGAGTCTGGAGACAGGTCGCAATTTCTGCAAAATGGAGTATAAGTATTTGTAAGTCTTCGTATGAGATTGCATATGTTACTAAATTCTAGGCTGGATGACTTTAACCCATTGCCACTCTTCCAAAGCCATCACAAGCAAGTATTGGCAATGATTTTCAGAATGTAATATGAGGAGGGGATGCACTTGTGCTGTTAGTCGGTTCATATTGCATATTTGCTTGTTGATGCAGATTATGCTGCAACAGATAAAGTCAATTCCAGGAAGCAACCTTTCCCACCAAAGTCAAGCATGGCTGTAAGACTTCCTCGCTATCGGAAAAATAGGTTTGAATTGCATGCAATTTGTGGCAGGCAGAGCACTCCAATGGAGGCAGGCTATTAGCGGAATGCCTTGCCACTGTCTCTTTAAATGCCAATAAATTCCCATCATTACAGAATCTGGCAGTTTTCCTCCCTGTCTGCAGCCTGGGTCTTTATCTCGCTCTGCCTCAGTCTCTGAGTATGTAGATCTGGCCCAGTTAGATTGTCATACTTAACAAACATTAATGATTAATTTCCTGCACTGAGTCAAATGGGGCTAAAGGGATGACTCGATTCATCTTATCGCGCCACAAATTAGCATTTCCCCATATTCTCCGGCATCAACTGTGCATTAAAATTCCACATTTACCATTCTGAGCACTGGCAGCTGTGGCGAAAGCGCCAAGGAGATCTGCTGCTGTGTTTCTGGAGATTCTGATTATTTCTCTCTTACACAAAGAGTGACATAATTAATTCTGCCACTTCCTGTATGTTACTGACCGCTGCAGAATCACTCACCGAAAGGTTAAAAACGGTCAAGGTGGGATTGTTATTTCCAATGTTAAATACGTGTAGCTTTGGTTCTTCACTTCCACTGTGATTAATATGTTTTTGTTACATTCTAATGTTGGTCATTTGAGGAGAAGGGCGCAAAAGAGTGCAATATGTTCAAATTAGTTGTGCTTGATGCATCCTGACACATGAACACACACAACAGAATCAAGTAGTTTGAGGTTAAAAAAAAACAACATTGACGTATTACTTCACAAAAAGAGGTTTTACATCGAGGAAATGAGATACATGAGATGACATGTAAATGTACTGTCAGAGCTAACTAAGGAAGTCGTTTGTCATCGGACAAAAAAACTTGGAGAGCACAAAGGGAACAGCTTGTGGCAACACCCTGTGCTGAACTTCACAGATAGCCAACAATAAAAGAGAGGGTGAAACTGCAAGGTGAAATTTCACAATTTCAGTAAAAAAAAGAGAGTGTATTAAAAAGGATATCTTTCTTACAATTATGGAGCCAGGTGTGTCAATAGTGTATAAATCGTGGCTGTGGGGTCCACTCTTCACAAGCAGAGCTCCATAAATGTGAAACTGACTGAGCAGTGAGATTCTGTTTTAATCGCAGGAAGAGCCAAGGTTATTTCTTTAGATATGGGGCCTTTTTTTTTTTCTTAAAGAGCTCTCGATATGTAGGCAGACCTCCTCTTATTCCATTTATATTAAAATACACCTCCTTCTCTCTGTGGCTCTACTACTCCAACATGCTGCTTTCAGTAACAGTAAGTTCATCAGTGAGTCAGGGACATGTGTTACTGCTTTATTAATAATAAGAGGTTTGTTATTCCCACACTGGAGAGGGGACTGCAGAATAGATCCTTAACAACTATTCATCTATGTGATTGGACTGTTATTGATGAATACATCTTCACGGTTGGTCTAGATTTGTCTTATTTTAAATTGTTCAATCAATCAAAATGCATCATATATTGATTGTTGATCAAATGTTTGTATGTAAAATGGGAGCTTGTAAATTAACTGTATTCAATTGTGAATTATTATGAGTGGCATAACATGGAAGCACTCTCAGAGTACAGTAAAGTGTTTATAAAAATACCTAAACATTTGACTTAAATACAGTACTTTAGTAAAGAATGGCTCTCATACGCTAAGTTGTAGAAAAACCTATTTTAAATATATAAATGCCATTTTTTACAGTGGAATAATGGGTAATGTTACCTTTGGGCATCTAGAAATGCATTAAACTCACTGTATAGCAGATTTCTCATTGATGTCGCACATTCAAGACAAGCACTAATGGTGTGTTGTACCCCCAGCATCCTACACACCACACCCATGAACGCACCACAATGGCATTAACTAAACAGGCTACAGAGTCAACCATCAGCCACTTTCGAGGTTCCCAAGCCTCAGACCAAGATGGGACGTCAAGGTGCTCCATGCACTTATCTGGGGAGTCCCTTTTCTGCAAGGGTAAGGCAAATGACTGAGTCTTTGGTGGCATTCAACTTCTTGACCTTTGCGCCTTTAAGCGGCTTTGCTACTTCACCGCACTCTGATCAAAGTTAATAAGTGCTTCATATGTTAATGAAAATTGGTACTCCTCTTTGTGTTCCTACAGCTTTTTAATACCTATTATAGACTGAAACTTTTAATGGAGGTTTTAGGTCCCCCTGACAAGCCCATTTCAGAGAGTGACTACACAGATACAAGGCTAAGCTAAGACCAGAGAGTCACTGCTCAGTGGAGGAACCTTACACGGGAGACCTTATTCTCCGGGAAGCAGCAGCAGATAAAGGCCATGGGATGAGTGGCTGCTTTAAAACCCACGTTCAAGTCCGCACAGGGCTAATTACCACACGCCATCACATTTGAGAGGGTTTAGTTAATCAAGGGGGGCTCTCTTTTTCCTCCTATAGTCGAGGAATAACACACTTAAACCATTTAATGCCGCCAGGATTGCGTCCTGTTTAATTCACGCCACTTTCACATAAGTGGGGTAAATTTAAGCCACTCCGACATTAGTTTTTAAATAGATCTAATTGAGGAAGGGATCATGGGGAAAAAGGCTACACCTGATGATTGCGCACAACTTGCCACAAGGAAAAAAGAAATGTGGATAGTACATGATTTAGGTCTTAGGAGGCAATGGGAGACTTAGCTTCTTGTAAGCTTAGATAGCAGAGTAATACAAAAAAATCTGACTAGTAAGGCTTGTGTATGACAAGGAACAGATTACCACTTTCTCCAAAAAAGTACTATTTGACATCTGGGATTGCTATTTAGTGTTATTCATAAACATGCAGAGGAGATGTGAGGCCCTTCCTCGCATGGTTATATCCAAAACAATGGGAATATCAAACAGCTCCGACAAGGTTCTTTGAGGATTTTCAGAAGTTGTACTTTGTCCCCCCTAGCTGTAGCCACCAGTGTGTACCGCACCATCTACTTCATAGCTACTGGGTTATTACAAGACCATATTCCACTTTGAAGTTTGTGTAAGGGACACATTACGATGGAGACAAAGGGTAAAGCGAACGAGGCGTCGCTGGTAATTGCAATTTCCAAACAATTGCGCCGTTCAACTTTTCCCGGAGAACAAAAGGAAAACATTATTGATACGATTACCGGGGCATAGCCTACCTGGAACATGAAAGATTTATTTTTCCTTCAATAATGTAATCCCACGAGGCACATCAGTTTAGAAGTGTGGAGAAATAATTCTAAACAATTTTTCCCTTTGAAACGGAGCGAGAAGAGGCAGACATTCAAAGCGTCGGTTCTTCATTAAAAAGTCAAATTTGTGTGCCAGTAAGAGTAGGGACACCTGGGGTATTGAAAGCCACGCGGCTGGGGGGGGTAGAAAGAGGGTGGGGTTGGGGAGTTGAAGGGAGGGGGGGGGGGGGGACAAGTCTGTCATCTTCACGCTGTAACCTGGAGCAGACCACAAATTAGCTCCTGTGATGGCAAGGTGTGACCGAAATGAAACAAACACACAAAGAAAGCAATCTAATTGAATTGGAGTTCAAAGGGGGGGGGGGGGGGGGGATTCGGGTGCAGTTGGCGATGGGGAAAGGCAGCTTTATAGTGCTGGACCTCCGAGCAGTAGCAGGTGCTGCTGAGTGTTCACAAAGGGAAGTGCTACGCTCTCCAGTGCATTGGTGTACCGTAGCACGCCTTCACAGCACTATCACAGAGGGGGGGGGGGGAGCGCTGCCGATGCCATCTCCCTCTCAGATCAAACCACTGCTCTTGGGTGGATTGCTAGCATCAAATATCCGAATGAGCAGTCCTAACTCTCTGCAGTGAGAATTCCTCGCATGGATACTCCTAGTAGCTCTGCCAGGTTTGATTTGTTGAGGAATTTTATTAGAAGCCATTAGCAATAGTTTAACTTGTTTTTGATGCTTGGCACAAGGCTTGGTTGGACATAGTGTCGCAAAGTACTCTGAAGAAACTAAAACGTTGACTTTATTTAAATGTCAACAGATTTCAATTAGGTTAGTTCAAATCAATAATATTAGTTGATATACAAATATTAGATTCAACTTAATATTATTGCTTTCAACTAACGTAATACAGCTAGGTGAGATTTGTTGACTTATTTCATTGAATTAAAATCAATGTTTCAGTTTTTTCAGTGTTCTTTGAAGTGTTAATGATCCGTACCTTTGTTGCAGAAGTACTCCATGTCTTCGCAGCTCATGTTCTCCGTCTCGAACTCGGCGGAGAAGTTCTCCTCTGCCGAGAACTCGTCTTTGGCCAGGAGCTCGTTCTCCTCGGAGACACACTCCTCCTCCTCTTCCTCCAGGCCATCCTCCAGAGGACCTGAGGGAACACACACACACAGACACACACACACACACATTGGGATATGTTCGGCAGTTTCATCACATCCTTCAGGCGCTTAAACAAAAAAGAAATGAAAGTCTTCCCCTCCTTTTGTTAAGAAACCACAAATGTAGCACCAACATTGCAGTATGTCCACGTATAGACAAAGATAAGGCCATGTCAATAATAGAGAATATTGTTTTACCATAATGTTTCACAAAGGTCCTTCCATTATAGCTATTGAAAAAGCCCTAAGCGCATTCTGAAACAAAACAAGCTGACTTGCAGCCAAGGTGAGCGTTGATGCTAATCCGCTATACCTACAAAACAAAACCTCACACAAGCGGAGGGAGAAAAAAAGAAAAGTTCCTTTCCACACTTTTTCATACAGGCATCCGCATGGGAGGAGGGAAAGAAAATACTTTTATTAATTTGTTAGCCTTATCACAGGGTACAATGTTGATTTTCCATTTACATTCCATGCCTCCGGGTAATACACCAGTGCAATCTTAAAGGAGACACTTTTCCGTGTGATTAATGTTTTCCCCCCTCTGTGTAATATTATTTCTTTAAATCTAAATGATTCCAGAGTTTTGCTCGTAGCTGTACATCTCTTTTGGTATTTGCATATTACCATTTTGCTTCAATCAAGGGGCGCTGATGGAATTACTGTACTGCTACCTGAATTGTCCTGAAAAACATCTCATCTGGCATTTGAATGTTATTAAGATAATGTGCATCTCTCCTTCAGAACCAAAACATGTCCGCACATGAATTAGCATAGCAAAGAAGAATGCAAGTTTAAGGTTATATTTGAAATAATGTAATAACATTTGCGTCATGTTCATAAAAAAAAATGTCCTCTTGGAAAGCGCTGCCATCACTGCATGTGAGATGTGGATGCTGTCTCTATCACAGCCTCTTGTGCATCATTCCGCAGCTCAAACAGAGTGCACTGATATCCTCTCGACACCTTTCAATGTGTTTGTTCTATTGTAGCCCGAGTGAGCCCCTCAGCTTTAATAAAGCAATAATTTCAGTTCAGGAAGTGGGGCTCTCCTGTTTCTCTTTCTTCCGCACACCGAGCCTCATAAAAGACCCCCCTGATGTCCACAAACTGCTTGCTCTTTTCATTAGTCTTATAAATTACTCCTTTGTAGAGGGCCTACATCTGCAGGAGCCCCGGACATGAAAAGAATTAGCACACGGATCTCTAATAGACACTGCAGAGGCAGAGTGCTGCTTTTTTAAATTAGGATACAGTTTTTTATGATCTTATCTGATGCCTTCTGCTGATTCGCAGAGGAGTGAAGTGAGGCGTGAAGTGACTCGATGAGTCTACCATCGCTTAAGATGATACCGAGAGATAAATATCGCAGTATCAAGGGGAGATTGTATGACTGGCGTTAAAAGCTCCTGCCAAGGCAATTGAGGACAGTGTGTGAAAGAAAGCGGGAGAAATACATTTCTATACACACTCTGTACACATTCCATTACACAGCTGAATAAGAACTGTGTGTACAACTAAACGATTCTTCCTCTGTTGCCGGCAAATACAGCAGCACCCAATAGACCTACAGTGTAGCGTGATAATAAGGGTAAAGGGAGATTCAAGATAAACTTCATGGTCAATAAGACACAAAGATTAGGTAGATAAGATGAGATAGAATTGAGGTTTAATAGACTCAGAATAAGGGCATCTCACTTTCCCACTCTCACAGATAGTAACTAAATGGAGCTTTTGCAAACTGATAGAGATACTGGAGGCCATACTGAATATGGAAAAATGAAATACTCTGAGAGACATTAAAGGGGGTCTGATGGTGACTTCTTGCCCACAGATTACCAAAGTTTGTGCGCATTCTCACGTGTTTCGTTTATTATACAGTATTCATTGCATGGAGAGACCTGAAATTATTTCAGAGACAGCAATGATAAGAATAATGACTTTCTAAACGACCAGCACCACACTCCTAACTCATTTTCTGATAGTGGCGTCCCTGCTATATTTAGTTGTGTACTGTTTAAAATCCTGTCACATTCACTGTGTGACCCGCGCTTGTTGATGCATTTCTATAGGGTCTGCTGACGAATCGGGCCAGAGGAATGTCTGCTGCCTCACCCTCTTATCAAGCCTCCTCGGAGTTCAGATGGCCAATGACACCATGGAGAGCACTGCACGTCGCTATGGAGAGCAACACGGTCTGCCTTCAAATGGAGCGCTCATTAAACAGACAGAAAAGAGGTGATTTTGGAATAAAACATAAAAAACACTGATTCGGAATTCTGTGGTGTCTTTAACTTATAAATGAATCTGTTTGGTCCTTGTAATATCATCTACAAAGCTTAATTTTCGCTAGTATGACTAGTATTAAATATTGTTGACGTAAAAAAAAATCTTTTAAAATCTTCGAAAAACAAAGAAATGCAAAAAATAGAACTTAATTTATTAGCCTATCGACAGAAAGTAAATCAACTACGATTTGATAATTGATTGATAAAGAAATCTTACAGCAGGTCATTTAATTTTTGATCATAAATCAATCCTAAAAAAAATCTGAATCCATCGCCTGATGATAAGGGTATAGGTATAATTCATCAATTATATTTTAATTATAAATTCTCTTTCACTAAATTATTTTTCATAAATAGAGGTCATAATAATGTTGCAGTCCTACAATCCCCATCTTTTCCCTTAAGTCTGACAGCTATCCATGTCACATTTTAAGTACTTATTCATGAGTTTTCCGAATGGCTTGCTTTGCTAAAATCATCCTTGCACAAAGACTGGTATCTGCTCATTTTTGAATAGGATGTTTTAGGAAGCTGCACCCTGTCTGAACTTCCTCTCAATCAGGGTCAGTGTCCAGGTATCCCTGCCTCCCCCCCACAGCCTCGTCATCCACACCCTCCGCCCTGAACTGTATCATCCGCATTCATCAGACTCTTCCTCCTCCGATTAGAGAGAGAATCTCAGCCCTGTTCAAACAGTCATGCAGCGGAGCAGCAGCAGCAGGAGCAGCCAATGCTAATAGAGACATTGGTAGCTGAATACAGGCTTGATCACAGTGGCTCTTTTGTTCAAGGCATGGCCTCTGTCTGATAGGGATCGGCCATGCGGAGTGGAGCTCCGGAGAGGGATATGGTAATGCCCCCACTGAGTCTATAAAATGGGGTGATACTCTGAGACCATATGATGGACAGAGGATTAATGAGTCACAGAGGAAGGGGAGCAGGGAAGAGAGAGTACGGACAGAGGTGGTGGAATGAGCATATCTTTCAGGAAAACACGAGTCTGTGCCTCAGTGGACTAAAACAGAAAATGGGAAAAACACACAGATATGCCTCCGAAAACTCACACTTAAAAAAAAGGAAGGGCTCTAAACAAATATGTGTGTGTGTGCAAAAGTGTAAGAGCTAATTTATAATGGCGTGCTTTTTCAGACGCCCGCAATGTGGGGAGCTTGTGGCCGGGCTGTGATAGCGATACCGCACATTATCAGCAGGCTCCACAGTGTGATGTGTGGATCACAAACCCAGCCTCCTCTATAGCTCTCTAATTAGAGGTGAGGTAATTGAATCTGACAGAACAAAGCGGCAGATCTCTATAAGCATGGAAATCATTTTTTGCTGCTTCCACCTATACAGTTTCTCATCCAAAAGGTCCATTGAAAGTGGGTCCAAGCTGGCCTGGGGATAAAACGTAGCACCTGAGACTAAACATGAATGCATAATGCAGCCCTAAAATCCAACAGGGCCAACCTCTGCCAACTGCGACTGCTCCTTTGTGCCAGCACTGATACGGGCCTCCCTCACTTCCAGGTGAACACACACATACACCGCAGGACTCTTCAAACTTCTGCGGGGGGAGGAAGTATGGACCATGTCTCAAGGTGCAAGTATCTAAAAGCTTTGAGCCAGGTAGGCCTGGATACTTGTTAATATTCCTCCACAGCTGGAGAAAAACCACTCATATCTGACAGCAAAGGGTAGGAGAAACTGACTCATCTTATAGAGAAAAGTATTATATTAAATCTTTCATGAAGCGAAAAAACTGTTTTGAAAGTGACCTGTCGATAACAAGCTACCTGCGCCACTCTAAATGGGACAATCATTTACAAAATGAACATGATGATGTTTTGGAGAAGACGTAAAACTAGAGATTTGGACCATACAGTCATGTTAACAATGTTGACTAAGGTAGTAAATCAAGGAAGAAGTAGCGTCATTTTCTCATAGACGTCTATGCAATTCATCAATTGAAAAAAACACTGTAAAAGGGTTAAAGTACTGGACCAAAACAAGGATAACACCCACAATTGACAACAACCTCTAAGTGAGCTGTCAATCACGAAGTAGCAATGCCATAAACCATACCCTGCTTTATTTTATATTTCACTCTAAATGGGATGATCATTTACAAAACAAACTATAATGCTGTTTTAGAGAATACTCATATCTGGCAATTGAGACCATAAACTCATGTTTACAATGTTGACTTGGATACTAAATCAAGGGAGAAGCAGTGTAATGTTCTCATAGGCAATGTATCAACTGAAAAAAAACACTGTATAAGGGTTTAAGTTCTGGAAAAAAACAAACATAACACCCTCTAAGTGACCTGTCAATCACAAGATCAGAACGACAAACCCTGCTTTATTTTATATTTCACTCTAAATGGGACAATCATTTACAAAATGAATGTAATGCTGTATTAAAAGTAAAACAAGTACTTAAGGAAGCGATCGAGACTATAAACTCGTGTTTACAATGTGGACTTCGGTAGTAAATCGAGGGAGAAGTAGTGTCGTTTTCTCGTAGACTTCTATACAATCAGAGTTCTTGCCCCCTGCTGGCAAATAGAGTAAATGAACATTTAAGGGACTTCCACATGGGCTCCACTGTTCAGAACCAGAGGTAGCCTCTTTAAAAATAGATGTAAAGGTTGAGAGAGAAGAGGAAGAGAAGGAGGAGAAAGTGGAGAGAGGCAAGGAGAGACTGGGGGCCATCCTCTCTCCTCAGCTCTAATGACCTTTGGGAAGCGGAGGGCTCCCTCAGCCTTGGCGGAGACGCACTGTATATGTTACAGGGCTCAAGCCTCTAATTTAATCCTTGATCACTGTAATGAAATAGATACCATTTGCGCAACTCTTAATAGCTTAATATGCTACAGGAACCCTCAAAGGAATTTTTCGTTTTTAACATCTATTTTTTTCATACTGTGTAAATGGTAGCAACAAAAAAAGAGAAGCCTTTTTCAAGTTGTACACTGTGATCAAACTAAATGTGGAGCTAATGCCGTAACACAAGTGACAAGTAAATTACCATTTGTATTTTGTCTGTGAATGACTGCTTGTGTGTGTGTGTGTGTGTGTGTGTGTGTGTGTGTGTGTGTGTGTGTGTGTGTGTGTGTGTGTGTGTGTGTGTGTGTGTGTGTGTGTGTGTGTGTGTGTGTGTGCGCTGGGAGGAGCGCGGAACAGCTTCAGTGGAGACTGATGTGTTCTCAGAGCTGCAGTCTGTGACCAAGAATAAGCGATGGTATTGTTTAACTTGATTTTCCGGTTGCTAAGCAATGTAATTTTCGTGATTAGAAATGGCTGCCTTCCTAAATTCGGGCACTTACAATCAACAGTCAACAAACTGCTTGAAAACTCAGCACCAACGCTCTTGTGTGGAAATTGCGGTGAAAAGAAAAGGAGGGAAGGGAGGGGGTTCACTTGGGGGGTGAATACATGTATTCCCATCGTTGTAAAACACACACACAAGTGTACACACTCTTCTCTGAGGCTGCAGCGCTGGAGATGACAAGGCACCTAAATGCAATCTGATGACATCATGCATTCAGATGGCCCACTCAGTTTACATTACAGTTACACTGAGACACACCCATCATGTTTAGTAACTAAGTACACTTACTCAAGTACTTTACTTAAGTACAATTCTGAGGTCTTGCATATTTCAGTTTAACGCTTTGTACTTTGACCTTTAGTTACTTTGCAGTAATAGATTTGTGATAAATAATTTACTTAGTACTTTTGGTTTAAGTATATTAGATGCTAATACTTTTGTACTTTTACTCAAGTGACATTTTGAATTCAGGACTTTTACTTGTAACAGAGTATTCCTACACTGTGATATTTCTACTTTACTTGAGAACAAGATCTGAGTACTTCCTCCACCTCTGCGTGTTGCACAGATGCAGAATAAGAGATTATTTCCATTGACATTTCGTGAAATACTGCTAACATAATTCCGGTTGAGTATCTTATTCCAATCAGGCACGCCGTTGGATCCCAGCATGTTTACGGAGTTGTTAAGTTCTGTGTTGTTGCGCCCAGTGTTTCTGTCTGGACTGTTGAAGGGGAATAACACGCTCTTACTTCTTTATCCAATGAATTGGAATTGGAATGGCATGAGAACATGCTGGCATTTGACTATGCCATTAAAATGCTGGAGGCACCTCTGAGCGTGCCCGAGGGCTTCAGCAGGTGCCAACCAGTTTCTCTGTGGAGTTAGCTGGGTCCTGCTTCACTCTGCTGCCTCTCTAGAGTTTACAGAGACACACACACACACACACACACACACACACACACACACACACACACACACACACACACACACACACACACACACACACACACACACACACACACACCACACACACACACACACACACACACACACAACACACACACACACACACACAACACACACACACGTCCAAGTGGACACTGCTACTACATTTGGTCCATTAAAGTCACAAACCCTGTCCTCGGAGTAGAATGGGCTTAGCTAAGGCCTCTATGCAGGAGCTAAGGCCTCTATGCAGGGAAACATTTGCTTTGCAGGGGCAACGAACATATTAAAATGCTGTTGCTGCAGCTTGCTGTTTTTAAGCATTTCCTTCCTGTTACCTCTCCTCTTGCTGAGTGATTTATTGGTGTCATTTTGTTACTTATAAGGAAATAAAAGTTAACCATGCGCCTGTACACCGCACGTGACAGCTGAAACAAAGCAGGTAAAATATGTGTGGTCTTAATTACTGGTTTATAAGGAAGCTTTTCACTCCAACGTTCACTTTTAATGAAGCCATTGAGTGAGGCTCCTCTAGGGAGCTATCATGGTTAAGTGGGGGCATCCATCTTCAGCCATTGGCTCGTCTGCAGTGAGTGGAGGCTCTGTCTCCAGCACGCTCACCTCATATTGGCTCACTTTATCTCCACTAAGTAAAGTCGGTTGGAA